AATGCAGTCGGTTCTTATTTACAAAGGTGGCCAAACTCGAGACTATGTAGAATATGAAACAAGTTCCAGAAGAATCTTTTTACTAAACCTGTTTACAGTAATATTCATTTCAACTAATGCTATGGTCACATTACCCAAAAGTAGCCTGCTCGGCAGCGAGCGGCGAGTTTTTAGCCAATTTTGCCCGGTCACCGAGCGGCGGCCGCCCAGGCACCGCTTGTTTTTAAGGCATCGCTCGGTTCGCTGCTGAAGTTTTAGCGCGGAGTTAAAACTCGGGCGGCGCCTGCTCACTTTCACTCGCTGCCCAGACTACGCTCGGTGACCGGCGCGGTCGCCGCCCGGGCGCCGACCTAATCGAGCGTTCACCGTCAAGCAATTTAGGTCAAAAATCGAAGCCGCTAGGTCAAAGGCTGTCGAGCAGTCGCCGTCCGGTCGCCGCCCGGTCGCCTCGGGGAGATCAGTCGGTCACTGGCCGGCGAGTCCAACATGGGCGGCGAACGCTCGATTAGTTCGGTGCCCGGGCGGTGAACGGCCGGGCACTGAGCGTATTTTGGAGCCCCGCCGATCACTGGCCGGCCGCCGCACGGGCAATATCTTAAAATCGCCGGGCAATATCTTAAAATCAGCGGCCGGTGGGAGACTGCTCGGGAATCGGTGGGTCACCGGTCGGTCACTGCTGGGACACCCGCGGAAAAAACATGCACGTTTAACATAACTCAACGCTCTTGGGTATTAAGAGGCGAATCATCCCCTCCCCATTCACTCTCTCGCTCTCTCTCTCTCTCTCTCTTTTGCTCTCTCCCTCTCTTTACCTCTCAACCCCTCTTCCTCTATCTCTCTCTCTTAATACAAATAAGACAACTGAGCTTCTAATGAAATACATTTTCTAAGGCGCTGGAATCGGACATGGAATGATTTGTAAACAAAAACTAAAATCAGAAAGAAAAAAAAGAAGAAGAAAAATTCAATGTACTAGTTTAACCTGTCTTGATATTTCTATACCCATCAACGTCACTGACTGGCCGGAGGAGATGTAGGTTCTCAACCCCCTTCCCCTCCCTCTCTCCCATTTCAATTTTTTCTAACGTTTTCGGAGGACGGAAGGACTGAAGAAGGAGAGGCTATAAGCATGATAGAGGGTGATTGGTTGAATAGATTTATTCCTTTTGATAGCAACTGTAGGCTACTAGTCTATGTGCTACACATAATTATTATACTGTTCAATTAAACTACAATTGTGCACAATTATATATAAGCAGTGATTCAGTCTATTGACTTTTATACGAAAAGGCATAACATACAATTCTAAAAATTAAAAAAATACATACACATGTTTATATACATAATTATAATGATATCATCTCAAAATTTCCACTGTAATTTTTGCTTATCATATTCATGCATGATTGTTTATTTGTACAAACAAATCGTTATATCGGGGCAAAGGAAAACAAAAACGGTCTGACATGCTTGCTGATAAAGACGGGATATTGCACAAATTCTAACTTTTTCACATAAAAGAGAAGAATTTATTAACCGTATTCGATGACATATTTATAGAATCACTGATTTTTTTTTTTTTTTTTTTTTGTTTGTTAAAGAGAAGGTTGAGTTCTGGGAAGAGGTGAAAAATAATTTGTGAGCGTTATCATTCTTATTATGCAAGTTGGAAGAACATCAGATAAGACATGTTCCCTGAAAAGCATGGTTCTTCAAATGCCTTCATATAAATATGTCATGTAACATCGTAAAACTCGGGGGTAGGATTTTTACGCCACGTGTTCGTGTATTCCCATATACATCTTTCTGTGTACAGTGTTTGTAACTTTACCAAGACTTGGCCAATTTCTTATCATTTGATGATCCCAGAACCTGCAATACACACAAATTCTTATATGCTAGATGACCAACCTTTCCTGGTCGATTCCACACCATTTCTTTCACAATGCAATCACATGACCAGAACTAAACTTCATCTTTAAAAAAGGATGGTTAATTCTGATTTAAGAGAAAATTAAGTTGGAGCTTTCTCTTTTTCTGAAAATAAATTTGAAACGAAAATTATGTCCTCTGAAATGAAATGCTCTTCAAATGTTCTCACATTCGAAGTACGATGAGTAAAATCCGAGAGGTTTGGACCAAACATTCATGCCACATGTGAGTGTGGAAAAGGCACCTTTCTGTGGTACATGACCTCAGCATGTTCGGCAAGATTGAGCCAATTTCTTAGCATTTTGATAACCAAGAAAAGCCCTTAATATACACCTATTCATGTGTACTATATTTTTCATTCATCATCATTTACTTCATGGCAGCAGAAAAAATACAACAGAGGAATTTTTAAATGACAAGATACATCATACAAGAAAATAACATAAAAATACTGTATACAGACTCATGTTTGCTGGGAGTACGTAGCAGCCCAATTAAAAGGGTGGGGCTCTTCTACTGCTATATATAGCTGAGCCAGAAATTTTAATGTATGGAATATAATAAGTATACATGATATTTAGAATATAAAACATCGCATTACACAAACTTTATAATTACAAAAACAACTAAACAAACGATTATGTACAATTATCATTTCATTGCTAAGGATAATCAGTCTTTCATAATAGACCAGTTACGAACATATTCAAATTGATGTCTTCTTTCATGGGGACCTAGTGACGAGATATTCCATTAGCCTGTTATTAATGAATGAACTACAATACTAGAAATCCAGTTTGCATCCACTACCTGTTACTATTTGGGCAAGTCTCGGGCAATATTTCAGGTTGTCAAGAATAACAACGGTAGTTTAATGAGTATGCATAACATTTGAATATGTTTGTAAACTTGTCTATTGCTTTCAAATAGCTTCTGCCATAGCCCAACCGCATGACCATGCTGAACTCGACCTTATCTTGAATGGAAACTGCAACAAGTACGAAAAAAAGCCGTGCAGATACATGCATTATATTGCTAGATGACAAAAGACTACATATACATTAATTTTTGTGTGTGAAACTGAAAGACATGCTGAAACGAAACTCACTCGAATATACTGAATGATACACACATACGCACACACACACGCACCCGCCTACCCACCCATTCGCACGCAAACACACACACACCACATACACACACACACCACATACCACACACACACACACACGCACATCTATATACAAGAGAAGATGCATAAAAAGACGGAGAAGATTATTTAGTTCCGACTTAAAGCTGTTTTAAAACGGAATTTATATATGTAGGCGTTTGTGGTATGTAAAGTTTGAATATTTTTTTCTTGCTTCTTTTCATATACACTGTATATATACAATACAATGTCTTTCATTAATGATTTTGCCAATGTTATTTATTCATAAAAGATAAATAAAGTTTATAACTTATCAAAACTATATCGATCAATCTCTATGGCTCTTTAGATTGAAGAATACGTTTTTGAGAAGATATGGACTTTATCTATCAATTATAAATTACATTGTTACAATCAATTTTCATGAAAAAAGGGTAATAAAGTTCATTCCAACTTTAAAGGCAACAGTATATTTATAATGTGTATAAGCAGAGTTGACTTCATATAAATGTATATGTCGACAGATACTTTTGATTATCAGAGCTGCATATACACTGAACTAGGTTGCAATGATCTAGCGAAATATGATTTAGGGTAAAGCTCTAAAATATAAAACAATTAAGCATAGATATACAATAAAACGTCTGTCACATGAGAAACACTGATACATTGATATTGACCAAAGAGTAGAATCTCTTTCCTTGACAAAGCGATTATCAAAATACCTTTAGCAAGTCTCCTTTCTCTACTCACTCAAAATGCTCGTGATGAAGTTTTCATTCATCTGCTCAAATTATTCTGTGGTAAGTTTAGGTTTCACGATTTTACAGCTCCAAGAAATTGACCGTGATAAAAATGATAGTGTCGTCCCTCAGTACATACTCTTAATCATTTTAAATGCTTTTCAGCTAAGACATTTGTGACACATTCTTTTAAATTTTAATAATACCTTGACTCGCCTCTCAAAAAACCTCGCACTTGCATTTTTGAATAACTTTTTATTCAAAATTTGCCTTGGTTACGACTTCTGGGAGAGTAACAACACTTCCTCATGCAAAGCCGAGATATGTACTTGCGAATAAAACAACGATATGCTGCATCTAGCACTTGACACGATACTCCTTGATCCGTAATGTTGTACTCATTTCCTCTTGAAAAATTCTAAGAAGCGCTTTGACCCGGAGTGGTGTCCGGGACATCCATATCCATCGACACGATTTTGGTGGGTCCGTTGCCTCGCCTCTTCTTATTATCTCTCTCAATCAGATTCTCATCGGCCACACGCCATCATGGTCTCAAGCATTCTGAGGAGCTTCATACGTCTTTCGTAGCATGTGTTCTGTAGGTGTCTCCGTGAAATTCTCGATGAAGTAGAGCTTTTGATCCAAGGCTCCCATGCCGGTGGCTTGGGCTTTGATGGTGTCCATCCGATCGCCGACGCTATCGCATGTTGGTGAACACTATGGCAGGGTGAGAGCCTATATGCAAACCAACCTTTTTGAAACAATAATAAGAAACAAAGATATTAACGATAATTTACCAAGCGAATCCTCGTCAGCAGCTTTGCTGCCCTTCCTGAAGACCTTCTAATCATCGTTACCCAACAATTGCCTATTTACACCTGGGTGGGGAGTGGCTAATGTGGATTAATGTCTTGTCGAATTAAGGACCTTAGTGCTGGGCTGGGATTCGAACCCTGAACAATAGGAATGAAAATCAAGTAAATGAACCACCACACCTCCAAATTAAAAAGAGTTACCCAGGTTGTGTTTATAAGTTAATTACACTAATAAACTTTAAACAATTTAAATTCAAAGCAGAGGAGTCGTAAAACTCAAATCAAAGAAGGCATACACATGGAGAAAAAACAGACTCAAACTAACTTCGTAATAAACAAATTGTAGAAACAACATAATTACAAATTCGCCACGAATCGCCTTTACAAAGTCTGGTAGAAACTTGTCCAGTGCGTTAACGGCTGCCTGGCACTGTAACATAATCACAAAAAATGATGATCGTGATAATTAGAAAGACTTCGCACCTTCAAGACATAATGGAATCGGAGTATACGCTCTCTAAAAAAGAGTGAATTTTCACTCTATTTTCACTTTTTGGGGAGAGACGTCAGGGATCACTTGTTTAGGAGAATATCGATTGATTTTAGAGTGCTCTCTATTAAGAAGAAAAGAGAAAATGTTCACTTCGATCTAATTTTCCGTTATGTTACACGTTCAATTAATGATACTTTCCATCGCATGCACGGGCTATAGGTGGTCTACGGATCCGCATGAAACAGTTTATAGCTATATAGAGCAGAAATGGCTCTATGGCCTCGTATTTTATTCTCTTTATATTTCAGAAATATGTCATAAACACAACCCAACCTCATATGTATCACTAATTTCTTTCTACGTATCTCGGAATAGTCTTGGGTAGTTTTCTTAATGTCCAGCACGAAGAAGGTTATGAGACGCTACTTACTCGAAAACCAGGATAGGAAAATCGACGGTTCCTTCCAAAAGTTTGCTTTGGCCGCCTGAAAAAGAAGAAAAACAAAGTACATTGTATACTCGTAAGCGGATGTTATTGTCAAGGACAATTACCTCTAGGGGTTAGTTGTCCGGATACGGATCAGTGTATCTTTGTTTTAAATTTCGGTGTTTTTTGATAAAAACGGACCCATTTTAATGGTATTTTTGTTAAAATTTGGACCCATGTTTAGGGATTTTGTTGTGAAAAAGTGACCCATGATAGCGGCACACCACTTTATGTCCTAATATGTGAGTTAGGACAATTACCCTCAAAGACAACTGCTCCCTAGGACAACTACCAACTAGGACAGCAACTCCACGACAATTCCCCCCCCCCCCCGGGCAACTACCCCCAGACAACTACATGTACACCCTAGGAAAACTATCCCCAGACAACTTCCCTTAGACAACTACCACCTACGACAACCATCATCTAGGATAACTATGCCCGGACAACTATCATAGGGGGTTGTTGTCTGGGGAATTTGTCCGGGAGTAGTTGTCCTAGGGGTAGTTGTCTGGGGTTAATTGTCGGGGTAGTTGTCCTGGAGGGGGTTGTCCTAGGAGGTGGTTGTCTGGGGTAGTTGTCCGGGGGTCGTTGTCCTAGGTGGTGGTAATCCAAGGGGTGGTTATCCGGGGATGAATGTCCGGGAGGTAGTTGTCCGGATACGATATGCCGTGTGGACGCAGTTATAAAATTCGCGATTTCGCCTTTAGTTACATCGACTGCCTACCCAGCATGTACTTTAGAACTTCAAGCGGTCATTTGCCGTGTGAACTCGGGTCCGGGGTCGTTGTTTAAGGACGTTCCGCAGTAATGTTTATGCGCACCTTAACTACAGCTCCGAAGATTCGCAAGCGCAAAGTTTAAAACCAGGACCGTTCCTAGCGAACAGGTAAGTACTCACGAATCTGGTCCATAATGTCTTTGATGCAGGATACATCTAGATCCTTCAGTCCCCGGTTATCAACTACGGTTATATGGTCGGTTAGGCGAAACGGCTTTGGGATGACGGTTACGCCCCCTATGGAGTGAGATTGGGCCACTTCCACGGTGCCGAATTCACCTTAAAGTGTACAAATCACACATATACTCAAATAAGTCATTTCTTATATGAGTAGTTTCATGTCGTAAATTTATTCAAATATGAGTGACAAATGTTACTGCTGTATATATAGAAATATTTTCCAATTTAAAGTGTACCAATCACCAAATAATAACTTGTTTCGTTCATTAATAGTTCCATGGCGTGTTACTATCATTCAAAATATAAGCGTCAAATGTTACTCTTGAAGAGAAATTTTTGCAATTTGAAATAAACTCTCACTGTAAGAGTCATAGAGATTGATCAATACAGTTCTGAGGAGAAGAAAAGATAAAACAACCATCAAGAGTAAATCAATTGTTAGAAAACTTATTTCATGACAAGAGGTGGAGAAGAATTATTCCAAGTTTTGGGCAACCGTGAGTGTAGGTCAAGTTCTTACCTGTGAGAGAATATTTGAGGGATCGTACGAGAGAGGACTTCCCAGCATGCGTCACACCGAACACACCCAATCGGGTTACCTTCGACCAACTTCGGCCCTCCTTTACCTCCAGCCCAGAAAAGGACCCCGTGTGTAGCCATTGATTTTCTTGGCTAAGTCTTCGAATTCGACTAGTGGGGCAAAAAGAAAGGGAGAACACTTTAAAATTTGTTTGATAAACATGGCTCAATATGAATGTATTTATGTGTCCGTTCAACTTAATTCTCGTCCAGATATGATAAAAAAACGCAATTTGTCCTCTTTTCTTCTTCAAATGAATGGAAAGTGCGCGAAACAGAGGTCCTGCACGTATTCACGTTGCTATATATCATAAGAAATAGGAAGTGTTTTGCTCTTACGTCACAATAGCAACAAAAAAAGCCACTGCTGTCTACCCTCCCAGTCTAAACGAAGCTTTATGGGCATTTCCATGTAATGTTTTGCCTAGTCACAATCATATTTAACTATGATACAGATGGAATACTAATCATCCAAATAATTGGGTCTACAACTGCCCCCAAAGTTTGTAGGGGACAAACATGATTAGCTCCTATTAAAATACTACGATGACAATTATCATTTGCTTGTAACTGACTATAATAATTAGAGAATCACATTCAGACGTGATCTAATTAAATTTTATAACGGAACGCTCCTTTTCCTCAGTGGTTTCTCCCCTCATATTCCTACTTTGTAATGGCGACAGAGGCTCCTTTTCAGGATCCTTCTCCTGTTCCTTCTTCTTTTCCTCCTCCTTTCCTGTATGACGTCACAAAAGAAAGATCATGTTGTAAATTACAACTGTGTATTTTGGCTTTGCTCGCATTTGTTGTACTTACCTAAGTAGCATATATTCTGTTTTAAATCTTTAAAACAATTAAGTAGTTAACGCTTCTTTTTCTTTCCCTCCTCCTCTTCCTTCTGCTTCTTCCTTACCCTCCTCCTTTTCTTCTTCCTCTGCCTCTTTTTCCTTCTTCTTCTTTCTCCTCTTTTTTGATCAAACCTTTTCAATGACAGATAATTGATTTGTAGGTCGAAGTACTAAACATCACCTGGACAAAATATCTAAATTGTATGGAAAAGACTTTGTTCGGAATTCAACGATGCGTGCATATACACATGAATAACTTGAGAGAATGATTCAACCCCCTTCTAACCATCCCCAAATGATTTCATAATAGCTTACATCTAGACTGCGTGTCACTCAAATGGAAGCCAATTTCCCATTATAATATGTGAACAGATAAGATATAAATCTTGAATCTTGAATTGTAAAACTAACCAAATCGTAAAAATGTATTAAAATTTTTTTAGCTCACTTCTCCAAAGAAAAAAGCCGATGCCGATGCCGATGCCAATTGCTACGACTATGAGAACAAATATGACAATCCCAGCTTTCCCTCCACCTGAAAGACCTCCCTCTGTTGGTAAAATATGAATACATTAGGAAGATAACATTTATCAATCTTAAAGGGAAAGTTGAGTTTTGTTGCAGAGGACGCTACACAAAAGCGCCCTAATATGTGTGGTGCCCCACAAATATTCAGCAATTTTGAACCAGCCGTTGAAAAACGAGATAGCGAATTATACGATTTATTCTAGCCAATGCCAATATTGTAGGCTTTTTCGTGTTGGTTATAATACGCGCAACCAGCCGACTCATTTATTGTTATTATTAATTAATTAATTAAATAAATTAACGGTCACTGGATTTTAGTTGTTGAAATTATGAGTAATTAGAAATGAGTATTACCGGTGCTCCCGGTAAATTACAAATATTTCAAATAGCCCCTAAGGCCATTCCATGGAAGCTACGACCATGACAATTGCAGAATATGCAGTTCTGATACATAATTTCCAAACGAGAATAGCAAATCGGTCGATTGTCGTCAAAAAACATCGTTGTAAAGCTAAAGTAATATCAGTCTTGAGAGGGAGCCATACAACTTAAATAGTTTATTATTTACACTTTCATCACGTAACATCGCGTGTGCTTCTAATATGTTTATTGAACCAAATTCATGACCCCAAACCAAAACTTTGTATTATATTTAAGGTAGAAATTTTATAATATATATACCAATATAAAGCGTATTCGCTTTAACGTCATCATTAAGAAAAAAACGACTGCCGCGGTATAAAACTTCATAATTATCTGAAAGAGGCTTAAGATTGACATACCTGATGGATATTTAAAAGTCACCACCAATTTTGACGTCCCGTTGACACTATCACCACTGGCTTGACAAACAAAGGACTCTCCATTCTCAATCTCTGTCCTGGATACCTACATGATGGTAACATCATTACAAAAGGGGTAAAAGAAGTGTGATCAAATGAAAATTTCGTCACAACATGAGCACTTTGAATATGGAAAATTGTTAAGGATAACCCTAAATATACTACATATGCAGTTGTAATAGTAGTAGCAATAGTAGTAGTGGTAGTACTGTAGCAATATTAGTAATAATAAATAATAATAATAATAATAATACACAAGATCTATAAGGCGCCAAATCCACTTGACAGTCAAATGCTCAAGGCGCAGCTTTTGCAAAAGATGAAATACATGATAAATATATACAAAAGTGCAATAGGAAAGGTACAGACATGAAAGGTAATGGTAATCAATTATTAGCTAAATAAACAGATATTTCTTAAGATTTTTTTTAAACACTTCAGCAGAACTGCTATTCTGAATCAATTGAGGGAGAGTATTCCACAATGAAGGCCCAGCATGAGCGAAGGTACACTCCCCCACTTGGTTTTAACCCTAGGAGTAACAAGTAAGCCAGAGTTTTGAGAACGTAGCTGTCTAGAGGGAAAGTAATGATTAATCAAGCCGATGTTGTACTGCGGAGCAGAGCCAAGTATACAGTGAAATGATAGCAAAATAATCTTGAAAACAACACGTTCTTCTACGGGCAACCAATGGAGTGATTTGAGAACTGGTGTGATGTGACTGCACTTGTTGGACAGGGTCACGACACGAGCAGCAGCATTCTGTAATTTTTGTAATTTTGCGAGTAGGTTGTGAGGCAAACCAAACAAAAGGCCATTACCAAAATCTAAGCGAGATAAAATTCATGCATGAGTAATTTTTTCAGTTGCACTACGGTTAAGTTATTTACGAATAAAACCCAAATTGCGTAACAGATAACCGTAACGTACTGATTTTGAGACATATTGAATTTGTGTAGACATTGTCCTATTTGAGTCGGGGTTGCGACATACATTGGAAAGGCTAATTTCATGTCCAGCAAGAGTAATTGGTGGTAATAGTGGTGGTATTGGTGGTGGTAGTAGTAGTCCTTGTATTAGTAGTTGCAGCAGTAGTGGTGGTAGTAGAGTAGATGTTGTAGTAGTAGCAGTGGTAGTAACAGTAGTAGTAGTATAAGTAGTAGTAGTATAAGTAGTAGTAGTATAAGTAGTACTAGCAGTAGTATTGGTGGCAGAAGTAGTGGTAGCAGCAGTAGTAGTAGTATTAGTAGTAGTAGAAGTAGTATAAGTAATAGTAGTAGTAGTAGTAGTAGTAGTAGTAGTATAGAAGTAGTAGTAGTAGCAGTAGTAGTGGTAGTATAGTAGTAGTAGTAGTAGTAGTAGTAGTAGTAGTAGTAGAAGTAGAAGCAGTAGTTGTGGTAGCAGTGGTAGTAGTAGTAGTTGTTGTTGTAGTAGTAGTAGTAGTAGTAGTAGTATTATAGAAGCAGTAGTAGTAGCAGTAGTAGTACAGTAATAGTAGTAGTAGTAGTAGCAGTGATATAGCACATCGACATGGTTTTAATCCTGGGGCCTCACAGTTACGAGGCCATTGCTTTGTCACTGAACCATGACTGCACGCAGCGAGGGCTAGGGTAGGGGCCAGTTTCCATAAATATTTTTTTTTAAAACAGAAAATGCAATAATTTTCCAATAATTTATTGTATTTTACCCCGGTTCACAACATTAAAAAATCCTCTGTGTGCCCATGCCTTGAGCCATAATGCATGGCCATCCAGAGGATTTGTTTATGGGGACCGGGCAAAAATGCAATAAATTATTGAAAATTTATTGCATTTTCTGTGTTTTTTTTAATTCATGGAAACTGCCCCCTACCCTAGCCCCCGCTGCGTACAGTCATGGTTCAGTGACAAAGCAATGGCCTCGTAACTGTGAGGCCCCAGGATCAAAATCGTGTCGATGTGTTATATTAGTGCCCTTTTGTGGGGCATTAATCCTCATTACTGTCATTTATGACGTAAGGGCGCAGCTCCCCTATTTGGTAAGCATAGTAGCATACACATGCTTTAGCAGTCACGCAAAACACACTTTGTCAAATTATTATTCAATAAAATCTGAGAATGTATACTATCATCTAGATCTATTATTTTTTAATTGTTTTTAAAATAATTCCATAAATTGGGTTAAAACAAAAATATTCCACCGATATGAGCGACAGTGTAGTATAGAAGTAACAGCAGTAGTATTAGTTGTAGTAGAAGTTGTAGTAGAAGTAGTAGTAGAAGTAGTAGCAGTAGTAGTAGTAGTAGTAGTAGTAGTAGTAGTAGTAGTTGTAGTAGTAGTAGTAGTAGTATTAAGTAGTAGCAGTAGTATAGTATTGCTATCATCATTATGATGATTTAAAAACATTATAATATTTCACTCACCGTGAGGTCTCTGGTAGCGTTAAACAGTCCATCCTTTGGATCTGTGACTGGTATAGTTGGTGTTTCTATCTCCACATCTCTTCGAGTAGTCCAGGAGAGAGAAACAGCAGGTCTGACCTGCTCCACCCTGCACCTCAACGCGAATATTTCAGTGTCGGCCCCTTGTACTTCATAGACGCACTCTCTAGGCTTGGTCATTATGCAGCCGCTCACGACAGGGTGAAGAGGATTCGCGAGGGCTGGTCATGGATATGAAATTTTGAAGAAGAAACAAAGTATTAACCAGGGCCACCGTATCATTTATTTATGGATAGCGACTTTTAAAATTCTACAACAAATCTGCTCATTTAGCCCACCAAAATAATACAAGGATTCCATTAGCTTATCTTCATTTATGCCGAAGAGCATCGACAGAAAAGGATAGAGATACACCATTTACTGATGAAGAGAGAAAGAGGAACAAATAAAAGAGATAGAGAGACAAGCAGAGAGAGAGAGAGAGAAAGAGAGAGAGAGAGAGTGAGAGGTGGAGAGAGAGAAAGAGTGAAACAAATTGCCAATATCATGTTCAAACCAAGGATCGTGTGAGGGGAAAGGGGGGGGGGGGGGGGTACCACCATCATATACCCTGTCCCCTGTTTCATGTAAATTGGTTTTAATGTTAATGTTAAACTCCCTTCATGTCTGTTGCTGTAACAGTAGCTGTAGTGTCGACTGAGCATGTGCAGAAACTGTAACCATGGTAATATTTCCATGGATTAACTTTAGTACATGTACTAACTAAGTCGGGTGTTTAATCCATGGATCAGTTAGTCCACCAATTGAGAAATGATATTGAGTTAGTCCATGGACTAAAGATAAATCTGGCCTAAGCAGTCAATTATTAGGTGCGATACGCAACTAGTGTCTATTTCAGAGGTCGATGGACATGGGTGGGTAGCAATTGTGTATGAGAGTGACCCCCCCCCCCCACCCCCGGTGGCTCCATTATACATTATTTTGGGGTTATCATGTTGCATATTTCTGACTCAGCTATACTATCAGATCTGTGTAGTTCTTCCCTGTTGTATCATCAATCGACTTTTCTCTCCCTCTCTCTCTCTCTCTCTCTCTCTCTATCCCTCCCTCTGTGTGTGTGTGTGTGTGTGTGTGTGTGCGTGTGTGCGTGTGTGTGTGTGTGTGAGAGGGGGCGATAGGGATTAGTCTCATTCGTGTTGCATATTTGTATCGTGCCTATAACCATCGCATCTCTAGTTCTTACCTATATTAACATCAATCGACCTTTCTCTCTCTCTCTCTACTCTCTATCCCTGTTTGGGGGGGGGGGGGTAGGGATAAGTCTCATTCTTGTTGCATATTTTTAACTTACCTATAACCGTCAGATCTGTATTGTTCTTTCCTGATGCATCATCTTTCAGAACAACTTCACACGAATACGTCTCCTCGTCCTCAATCTGAACATCTGATATCACCATGGAATAATCAGAGGTAATATTGTACCTCGGGTACTTATCGCTCGAGAGCCACTGACCATTAAAGTACCGCACCACGATATCCGCCGTGTTGTCGGGGGCACCTGTCCGGTTGTGTTTGTACCAGTAGATGGCAAATGGCTCACCGATGAAACGGCACGTTAGAGTAATACTGCCACCCCTGAAAGCTGTAGCATTGGGGTCCGTGGTTACCTCGAGGTCTGAGAATAATATGTTAATAATAAAGATTGTTTTGTTAATGAAGTCCATTGTGCAAGACAAGTTTTATTATTTATAAAAGCATGATTAGACCTACACACGGTCAAAAAGACGTTCATCAAACAAAATCACATTTGATTTGATTTTGATTAGTTTGATTTTATTTCTACATTTTTCGACATAATAAAAAAGATATATACAAACTAGGTACATATATATATGACTAACGAAAGTGAGAATACATACATGTATATAATCATATCATAATTATAAAAAGAAAAAAAAATTGTACCTATTAAAAAAAATAGTTGATAAATGCAGGCGACCGCCATCTTAAAGGTAAAGACCAGTTCTGGTCATGCGATTGCATTGTAAAAGAAAGGTTGTGGAATCTATCAGAAAAGGTTGATCATCTAGCAATATTGTGTACTGCAAGGTTCTTGAATCATCGAAATGATAAGAAATTTGGCCACGTCTTGGTAAAGTTACCAGCACTCTGTGCAGCAAGATGTATATGGGACTACGCGGCACGTGCGCGATATCTATCCGGTCCTGATAGATATAATAATTTACCAAATATATCAATTAGTAGGCGGTTTCCCGGCAAACTTTGTATCATCACGTATTAGTCAAAAAAATTCTTTCGCATGATTGGTAATAAGAGCTTCCATTACATTTTTTGAGAGGGAGGGCGATTCTAAAACTGGTACTAACCTTTAAGCTAAGGATTGAAGGTCATGGCGGCCTAAAAAATGAACCTATATGGGCGACCAAACTTATAACATATATAATCAGAAATAAATTAATCACAACAGCCACATAATAATTTGTGGTTTTAATAGGTTTTTACGTCACCTATTGAAATGTGCGAACGCGATAATGGCGTCTTATATGATCTGAACATGATTTCTAACAGCAATACTAAAGGGTATTGACATTACCCTTAACGAGAAGATTCAGTTCAGGAAAAGATACACAAATATTTGCTAGCTCTTCTTAAATTATTTTTGTTGTTTTGGAAGAATATCATTTAATAAAAATGGCACTTTAAATGCCCTCATACCGGAAATGTGGCAAGAGATGGCTGAAGTATGTCGACCAACTTTCCTGCCATAATGTCTCTGTAGCCCCATTTACACATTTTTGTGTGTCGTTCATGTGATTTTCAGCAAGACCAAGTCAAATGTATAATAATGATAATGATTCCATAACCTCGCAGTAGTACACAAATACCTTACGTGCTTCATAATCATCCAACCTTACTCCTTGCTTCTATTACCAGACAGTTTTTTTGTTTCACAATGTAATAGCATAACTAAAACTAAACGTTATGTTTAAGTCATTTCAGGAAAGGCTTTGCGACAATATATCAATATGTTTACATCAGTAGGCAGCTGTAGGTTCCGCAGTAACAATGATGGATTTGTTCCCCGTTGAACTTGCATATATTATATTAGGGTGATATTTTCCAGGAAAATGGAAAGACATCGACCCACCCCTAAAGTCTGCACAGGTGGGTGGTGATCTAAGGTTCTGAGAAACATCTTTGCAGTAAAAACTGAATTATACTCCCCAGGGGAAATATGTAATGTTATTTTATACGGCAAAAATACATGACTATTTTAACTTACACTTTGACAGAATAGAATATCTTACATATAGTAAGAATAATATTCCAATTATAATATGAATTGTCAAATGTAAATTAGTTTCCAATCACCTTACATCTCATCAACTTTAAACTTAACTAGTACACGCAACTCTTCCGATTGGTCCGATTACAAGTTCTCTAAATAATTACCAAAGTAGTATTGCGATTTGTAGATAAAAAAAAGACGGGATATAAGGTCCCTTCTCCCTGCCTATCTGTCTTTATCTATCAGCTCTTCCCCCTCCTACCCTTCACCTCCCTCTCTCTCTCTCTCTCTCTCTGTCAGTCAGTCTGTCTCTTTCTCTGTCGCTCTTTCTCTCCCCCTCTCCTTCGCTGTCTGTTTATTTCCTCTCCTTTGTCTGTCTGTCTATCTCTCCCCCTCTCCTTTCTATCTGTCTGTCTGTCTTTCTTTATTTCTCTTTCTCTCTCTCCCTTTCTCTCCCTCCCTCTCTCTCTCTATCCTCCTCTCTCCCTCTCTCTCCCTCCCTCTCTCTATCTCTCTCTCTCTATCCTCCTCTCTCTCTCTCTCTCTCTCTATCCTCCCCTCTCTCTCTCTCTCTCTCTCTATCCTCCCCTCTCTCTCTCTCTCTCTCTCTCTCTCTTTAGCACGTCATTGTCCTCCTCTCTCTCTCTCTCTCTCTAGCACGTCATTATCCCTTAACAATGAAAATTACATGTATATATCACTTCCTGCTTTCATTTCCGACAATAATAAAACTGGATTCAACCATTAAAGGGCGATCCAACTCCTGAAAAAAGTTGGAAATAAATAGGGATTTTTTTTTTTAATTGAATGTTTGAAATATAAGATCACGAAGTCTACGGGAATCTCAAATTGCTAGTTTAGTCAGTGGATTGTGATGTCGTCGCGGATAACTCTCCCGTGTGTCATGTACATAACATTATTAATTTCTGTTTTTCTCCTAAGTGCCTTCTTCGTTGGGGCACTTCTCAAAATATACTATGGAAAGCATATTATCATCGGTCCTCTAAAGATAAAAGATCCCCTGAGTCATAGATTTGTGCATTTTTGAACAAAGAAAACAAATGAAATTTTAGTCATATTATGTTTTGGACCAAATGGGAAAGTTGTCCGTCATTACATCACAGCGACATACCGATTTAGCCTATTTGATGATCCCATACGTATAGTAATTACAACTGTCAAAAGTTCATAACTTTCTCATTTTTGGCTGGTTTCATTCAGATTTTCTCTGAAGTTTCTGCCTTCCTGTATATAGAATAGTTCACTACCAAAGACGTATCGTGTAATATTTTACACAACGTGTCGTACCCCGTATAATACAAAAAGTACTTTCTATGTGATTAATGGTATCTATGCGTATTATAACTATCGTTACTTCTAAAACGTTTATAAGACGCGTGGTCTATCCAATCTGGGTTACAAACCTCAGTACATAACTGTACGGAAACTATGATCCTTCCGATCGAGTACCGTTAGTTCCAAAGTTCATGCAGTCATTTCAATGGAAACGAAAAATGACTAAATAAACAATATCTTCAATATCTGAAACTTCACACTATGTTACATTCGGCAAGTCTCGTCCACGCTGATTTTAAATAAGAATGTGCATGATCTATTTTGAGTTGTATTCCAGCCTTTGAATAATTTGGGCCTCTGTCGTTCTTTTATTCCTCCAGAAACTACATAAAGGATTCTTCAGACAAATAGACACCAGTTGTTTAATCAGTGATGACTCATAATTCATGATTGTACCCAACTATTGCGATTTAATGTACAAGTAATCAAAAATTATGGAAGTGTATGATAATGGACTTACGAAAAATAAAGATTACCATGAAAATGATTTTGTTTAATCTGTACTTTAACGACATCATATTGTCTCTATAGGCAGTAATGCAAATGTAGATTAACCATGTTGAATTTTACTTCATTTTTTCAGATCCTTTTATTGTTTGTTTTTAAATATCATTAAACAAAAAGAAATGTTTACTTCCATAGGAATGGATTACAATTGACGAAATGTAAATGTAAATGACAAAGCTGCCCTGTATAGATTTAAAAAAAATGTTCATAACTGAAATAAAGCAAATTACCCGTCCTAGCCCTGGTTCATCTATCATGTTATTTTTGTTTCGTTATTATTTATTCGTTGTATAAAGAGTGACCGCCAGCTTAGACTAAGGCGGTTACTGTATAAAGTATTAACATATTTACAAAGTCATTTTGAAATTACTATTTTTTAATAAGTTTTATTTGCAATTCACATTGTCACTTTTATTGACTTTTATTAGAGTTTTAAAACATTTAAGCCCACTGCACACTATGCTGGCTGCCTGTATACGATCTGATTTTCTGGAAGAATTTGCAAAAGCATGTTATACGAATATTCAAACTTTTAATAACCCTTTTGATCGAGGATTTAAATAGTCATTTGAATAAGAAAAATTTCAAGGGATTTCAAGCATCCTTTATACCAAAATCGGCCCAGAATTGTGATGACGTCATAGAGTACTGTCTACGCTTTGAAGCCGATTTGGTTTTTTTCTAACTAGAAGGCGTAAATGCACTCGAATTTCAGTTTTTAGTATTCTTATCATTCTTTAGAACTTACATCAGGAAGCCGTGTTTGTTTTGATTTCTATATCTAATATAATTGCAGTTTCTTCGAAAATAGGATCTCAGGAAGATCGTATAGTGTGCGGTGGGCTTTACATGAAGACATCTCTTAACTATACATTATTTTGTAATAGTGGAAATCCCCAAAATGACGCATCATGGAAACGCGGCAGCCATCTTGACAAAATAACTTTTAAAGAAAATCTACTTATTGCTGAGCCTCCCCTTCTTAAGAGAATCCAAGAAACCGAGTCGCCTAATTAATATTTTAGATAGGTAATCATTAATTCCGACAACGATACCTGCATGCAATACCAACTATGTTAATTATGTAATATACCATTATGTAATATGTGCTACATAAGAATTGAACATTATTATCATTATTATGTTTTATACGCATAGTTTGAGGCAGGCCTGGTTTGAGTCAGGTAGGAATTTTAGATTAACATTAAGAAGATACATTAATCATGTTAATTCCGACAACAATGCATGCATGCAATACCAACTTCGTTATAATACGCATGATATATGTGATAATTTCCTCAGTTTAGATACTTACTTGAATCTACTCCGGAGACTACAACAGCCAATAATGCGACCAGTCCATTGTAGAACTTCATTTTGAAGCGAGTATCCCTACGGACTGATCCAATCCACAATGTAACGCAATTATATCCCTTTTCTATATCCCATTACATTGATGTATGATTAATGGGCATGTGACTCTATAACACGTAATCCACTGC